CGTCGTTATCTTCGCTGTTTCAAAGAGCTCGCATACGTAGAGACTAGCACTTTCCATCTTCTTCATTCGCTCGCCGGCCGTGGCTGCGCAGGCGGCGGCGCGGGGGCTCGTCTTGCCCTTCGGTCGTCGCCCGGGGGCGCCTATGGCCGCGGGTGAGGTTTTGTGCAGACACATATTCCGTGGGTGGAGTCAGTGGCGTGCGACGCAGGACGAGGTCCATGGAGGAGGGGTGACAATAGGACAGTGCCAATGTCCGTGTAGACCGCGCGATCGATATAGCCAGTGGCCGCTGGCTTAGTCCAATTTACCGTTTGTATCGTGATGTTCGGTTTCGTGCAGACTGTACGTGAATGAAGGCAAGATACAGCAGCGTCCACGAGACACGAACGACAGAGCAGGTTGAAGTAGACAGTTTGTACATACCCTACCATGTTCGGACTCTAGCAGCAACGACTCGAGGTTTCACCTGGATCTTATACAACGATCACCTGCACTCGGTTTCGCATGCGTACGGATGCACCAGCAGACACGTCTTCACAAGCCGCCTGAAAATATCCAGCGGTGTAGCGTCTTGACCACCCGCATTGTTGCTGGTGGTGACTAGATTGAGGTCTTTGTCTTGAATCGTTCGAGCCAGCTACTTCGCAGCCGCGACGACTCGCAGTACGTGCAGTGTGCGCGTGGGAACACGACCAATCAAGCTGCGGATTGTCCATCCAAGGTTGCGACCACAGAGTACTCCGGATGCGTTTCTCGACGATGGCCAGCATCTCTTGCTGCTAGGGAACACACTCCTGAACGTTAAAAAACTTGGCTTTCAATGTCGAAGCTCAGTAATACGTCAATTTTGGCAGGTGGAGTCTTTCATGTGAATAAAACTTTAATGCCAGATAAAATCCGTGAGTTAAAACACCAAATTCGACATGCGTGGTAAATACAATAGTGTGCATCATGGTATATAAATCTCAATCGGCTACGACGGGATGGCCGGTAGGAATTTTCTTCTTCTTAAATAGTTGCGTCGAGAGGACCGGGATGCTGCATGGCCTTGGAGAGGTTGTCGGCCACGATGCGCGAGAGGTTGGTTGCTTGGTTTACGGACGGCGCCGCCTCGGTGGCTGCGAAAATCTTGGGCACGACGGGTACGTACTTGGCGACTTCGAGGCAGCTCGCGCGCAAGCGGGCGCTCCCACACACGGCCAAGACGATGTTGCCAGCGTGGAGTCGCGGCGAGCAGATCGAGTAGACGATCTGTGCGTGCCACGTAGGCGTGATGGCAGTCGCGGCGCAAATCAAGTGGATCTGGCTGTGCAGCTCGGGGGCAGAGAAGAGGCGCGCGGTGCGAGGTAGCCACTTGTGGCAAAGCGCTTCAATCGTCGCCGCCTTGTCTTCGCAGAGTACAAAGACCGTGCCGAACTGCTTGGCATGCAGCAGAATGCGCTCGATGCTCGCATCCAAGTTTGCGAATGCCGTCTTGGTCACGTGTTGGTTGCTCTTGCGCTTGCTCAGAAACGTCGTCGGGCACAAAAAGTCGTTCCACGAGACAATAAATACGGTCGGCGCCGTCGACGACGTCGGCGGTTGTGCGGTATACGCAGTGCGGCGGGCGACAGAAGCCATAATGGTAGTGCGGTACGAACACGAGCAAATGAAAAGTGCGCCTCCACGTTCGCCGATCCAAGTTCGGAATGTTTGCTCCTAGTGTTTTAAACACATGATTATAGACTAGATTAAAGTATGGACAAAGAGGACTGCTGGTCGAAACGACCATCACTCGCCGCTCAGATTGCCCCACGCAAGGTTCATCGATGAAGGTCGGCCCAGGAACCCCAGGCAGGGCGAGCGCTCCCGCGAGAATGCCGGTACAGGGTAGGATCATCGTATCTTAAGTACGAGATCAAAAAGAGCTCTCTCGCGGGACCTCGGCACTGATGCGCGTGGACAGAAAGTCCCATCCAATTACACGTAGTAGGGCTGCTGCTTGTATCCAATGCAAGGTGCACTCCCGACAAGATATCAAATCATTTGGGATGCTGTGCAGCTGAAGCCTAATTTATGCCCCAAGCACAGTGGCGGTTTATCGCTGGAGCTTCCGCTCTACCCGCCGCCGTGTGGCCCGCAGCTGCTCTAACCAACCAACTCTAGTGTCGATGTTTGCAAGAGTCCACCTGCTCACTGCTGCTGTACATGGTAAAAGGATCATAACAAAAGGAAAGGGGTCCTTTATGGAAAGGGGGATACTACATGACGAGGTGCAGCGGGCCGCGATGGAAGGCGACGTCGTCTAGGATCGATTCGAGCTGCTTGAGCTTCTCGATGCAGTCGGGCAAGTTCGGCTCCAGCGTTGTGAGGACGAGGCGCTTTGGCACGACGTGGTGGCTAACTTGAGCGAGGCTCCAGTGCCATGTGTGGTCGTGGCCCACGGCAAGCACCGAGATGGGCTGGTCGATGCCGTCATGGCTCGCTGTGCGCGCGTAGATCGCCTGGAGAACCTGCGCGTACCACGTTGGCGATGGCGTTGATGACGCGCACACAAGCTGGACGCTAGAGCACGGATGGAAGAGGAGCTGGCCTGTCCGCGGCAAAACTGCTCGACAGAGCTGCTCGAGGTACGCCTGTGTGTGAATGGAGGTGATGTAGACAGCGCCGAGGCGACTTGCGTGGGTGAGAAGCGCAAGGATGTCGGTGTCGAGCTGGCGCAAGGAGGCGGCGACGAGGTGGAACTCGGGTCCGTCCTTCGCGGCCGCGAGCGTGATGCCCTGAAGCCACGTCGTGGGGCAGAGCACGTTGGTCCAGTCGAAGACGATGGCCGAGAC